GAAGAAGAGTGATTCACAGATGTAAAAGAGACAGACAGACATAAGGGCAAGGAAAAGGTAAGGTGAACACCGTGAAAGTGGTCGAATATGACATACAGTGGGGTGATGGTAGTTTAAAGTCAGAAGCCAGCTGCCGGTTAATAGACCCTTTTGCCATATGGGTATACGTTGCCCGGGGCGCCCCTCGTGGAGGTAAGTCTATCGCACGTCCCTGGCTATATACATATAACAGAAAAATGATTTGTTGAATTACCCATATACGTTAAACATGCTCACTCACACAACGAGTCCCACTAAAGTCTAAACTTGTCTTCATTCACACACGTGATGATGACAAAAATTGATGAGCTGACTGCAACCCATCGAAATCATGGAAGAAATACCTTGGTTCATGATGATTTCTAACGTCTATTCAATAAGGAAGGTGGTTATATACGTTAATCAGTGTTCCCTCAACACTCCCAAAGCAACGTACCACGAACTAGGCAATTGTAGTGGAGACCACGAGGCTAGATTGAAGCCTTAGAAAAAACTTTGAAGAGAACAATTTTATACGGAGGAAGATTGTGAAAATGGCCTTCTGACAAATGCGTTGTAACATTCGAGTTAGGGGACACAACTTGTTGAAGCACGGAGGATCAAAATGATTCTTTTCAGGTACAAGAATTTTGCCAAGGTCAATATGCCATCTTAATGGTTTGCATACAGCCCAAAGGTGGCTACTCTAGCCATACCGACTAAAATTCTCCACCCTCGTTCTTTTGAAAGTGTGCCCTTCTCAACAGAGGGTGATGTGATGCTTTCCTCAACACTTTCTTTAAAAGTCATCAAATTCATTTGCGACGGTGTTGGTTAAGGCTTGGGTAACGAACAAGAGTAGTCAATTAAAGTCATTTGAACGGTGATGACAGCATTCAGCCTTCTGCTAAGTCTATGGAAAAGTAAATTATGGTTTTCAGCACTTTTGTGGTACTGCACTAATCCCAATGCAGGCTTGGTCACTGAAATTCTCCCACCTCATCCCGCTCAATTTTTAATGCGTTGTACCAGACGATAACGAGAGACAGAGAGAGATGCTATTCAAAAACCAAGAAGCCAATGAAGTGAAAGAACGTAGTCCATAGAAGGGCAGAAGTGGGAGCTTTTGGATTACTGAATGTATATGAGCCTAGTTACTGTTATTTTGAGAAAAAATCTTTTAGTGTAGTTTACTTTCCTGGAATATTGAATTTTTCCATATTCTAATTAATTTTTTGTCACCAGCAAATTCTTCTTTGTGAGATTGTCCAGCTTATTCAAACACCCTGAATTTTATTGAATTATACGAGCATTATTCTCATTTTTTCTTAAGATGTTGTAAAAAGTGAATAAGTTCATTGAAATTGATGAAAGTGTGGTATTGGAATTTAACGAAAAATGTTCTGTATTACTTATGAATTTTTAGTAGTGTAGAATTGATAACATGCATTGATTCCAATTACCGATTTTAGAGTTACGGCCCGTGTAAATCAAAAACTCGATAGTCAGATTACGGATACGGGATTTAGTTTGCTGCAACTCAACTCCTCTGAAAGCATCAAGCACTTCATTCCTCAAGGAATTTCACTAAATAGCTCGTCATTAGCCCAGAATAACACCGAAACCATCTGCAAACTCTTGGCCCCACGCCATGGTTACATCTTTTCCTTCCAGGTTCAAAGCGTGCGAAAGGAAGATTCGTTCACATGCAAACGAACTTATGGAAAAAGTAATGTTGTGTCCTGTTTTTCACAGGATCTCTGCCTTCAAAGGGGTCTTGGAGGAATTTTAACCTGCCCTAACTCAATTCTGGGATTCTACACTGAAGGTGCCGATTGCTATCAAGGTCAAATTGGTTGGCCAGTAATGGCATCTCTTGTTACGCCTGAAATTAGAAATTGGATAAAATATACTGTGAGTATGGGACATGCATATCAATGTGGGTATTCTCCAAATGAGAAGAGTCAATCCTTCCATTGGTATACCTATTTTAATCGAACCCAATCTTCTGAAGGCATATGTCTGGTTGCCTACGTGAGAAATGATACATTTCCCCTGGTTACATCCGTCCAATGCCTCAAACAATGTATGAATTCAATACTCCCTAAAGCGGATGGAGAACTCGGTTGTGGATTAGATGAATATGAACCTGATATGAAGTTATGCCCGGCTAAGAAAATAATTCAAAGACTCTCGTCACCAAAATCTCCGTGGACGCAGTGTTTGATAGCATATCTAACTTCGGCTACTGAAAAGGAGATTAGATTTGAGCCGGTGAGAATTGGTGCTTTTAAGGATTGTGATGGAGAAGGTTTCTACAATCCGTTTTTGGCTGACACTAATCTTTGCGTCAGAGCAATGGAAGACGACGGTGTTCTGAACTGTTCTTCATGGGGAGAAGCAGGTTTGGTACAATGTAAGAGAAGTTCTGATGGATTATGGGAGTTTTTGGGCTTTACCAAATCCTGTTCAGCTCGAAGGCCCCGACGTCGTTGGTTCATACGAAGTTTGGAGCTTTAAATTATCCCTTGACGTTCATGTTGTCGTTTATTGCATTTCGTGAATTGTGAAGTGACGATATCGTTCTTCTCTCTATAGCCCTTTATTAACCCTAAAGTTTCCTCGCGTTTATGCGGACTTTGTGCGTGTGTGTGTATGTGTGTGCATGTGAATTCAGTTATTATCTACAAATCTCATATTATTTTAATTAACTGCACTTTTATTAAAAAAGTGCTTATAACCGAGGGGATTCAATGTTGCAATGAAAAAGTCAAGCTGTTTTGCAACAATTAATTCAAAATTGTATTGTTTATAAGAGCGTTTGATGAATTAGAGTCCGCATTAAAAAATACAAAAAAATTAAGGCGGAGTTGTAAAGTTTTTAGTTAAAAGCCGTTTTCCCTCCAGTTACGATTCGAGTCGTGTCAATATTTGGGTTAATTCAAATCGGTTGAAATGGGCTTAAATGAAAGCAGACTTCAAGAACTATACCAAACCTATTATGGAGGAAAGAACTCCCTAATCAACATGACCTTATTCACTAAACGTATGACTTTAGGATCCAATCACATTAATTTCATTCAATATTAAGTTAGATAAAGGGCTTTTACAATAACCTCTTAAAGCCTTAAACTTGACAGAAATTGGAATGGTGGTAAAAATGAAAAATAGGAAAATATAATATTTTCTTTACTATTTCTTATACAATCGAATAGTAATACTCTCATTATTGTATTGATTCGGCCAGGTTTACGGCACCAGATGAGTTAAGGCTCTAGAATTGAAGTTTCACAAGAAAGTTCCAGCAATCTTAGGTCTATGCTTGGCAAATTTCTATTGATTTTTTAAAGCTGAAAACGGACTTTAAACTGGCGGAGTTGCCCCTAAGGACAGCAGAAAAAGCATTGCCATAATCATGTCTGAAACTTTGTATAAAATGGCAAATTGCTTGAGTCCTTATTTGTTAGAGTGTCATTATCAGACCCGAAGTGCTGTCTGAGAACTGTGGCTTATTAATATAAAGAATCGTAAGTACTAAAGAAAATAGGAAGACGTAGTTACTTTTCTTAAGCCTTCAGAGACATTGTGAGCAGCGTAGCATACTATGGCAAAGATTCAGAGTTGGAGCGGAATTATATTGCGAGAAATGGATTGAGAGGACGGGAACTGTATAGTCTAAATTAGTAATGTTACTTGACACGTGCTTTTAAAGGAGACAATAACCGCGCTTCAGTTAAACGGTAAGTCGGTCTTGAAAACTCACATCTAGTGTGGTCAACATCCCAAGCACCAAGCCCATAACTACGATTTAGGCTGCATAAATGGAGTCGTAAAATTTATACTTTGCGAACAGCAAGGCAAGTGTGCTATACTGTCATTTGATTCCATACAATATTTACAAAAGTATGCAGTCTCTTTCCCTCCTCTCTTCACAATACTATGACTTATTAAAGGTATACTAAATTCATTTGCGTGATTAAATACGTTCCAATTAAATGTTTGCTAACTTCCATTGATAGTGGAAACAATTCCCCTACTTTACTTGGTTTTCCCCCTTCTATTCAAAATCTGCGAGCGTTTAATATTCAATTAAGTCTTATAAAGTGGTAAACGAGCACAACTGCCAAGTCAGAATGCTCATTGGTGCACATCCAATAACGTAGGACGCCAAATGCATTAATAAATTCGGACCAATTAGATAGTTGGTAGAATGCGAATTTCTCCAAGGAATGGCTTTGAGGTTGTTCCCTATCTTCCATTTGAAGAGTTATGAATATTAATTTTAATGTGCTTGGAATTTTTTGCTAAAATATGTGAAACTTGTTTTTAATTTCATTCCATATATAAAAAATCAATAGACTTATTTTCAAATATTTGTTCAGGTTTCTTAATTTTATTTTATAAAGTATAATACCAGTTTTGTGATCCATAACTGACAGGCTATTTTTTTGCTACATGTATAATATGGTACTTCAGTCTAAGAAGGAGCTTCCAACGATAACAATGACATTCGCAATTACCAAAGCAGACTTGCAATCACAAAGGGAATTCTTTAATCACTATAACGAGGTGTTGCTAAGATATGTTTTGAGTCCAGAAGATATAGAAGACGAGAGGGTACAGCAGAGGTCATTATGATCAGAAAGTGGTCATTGTTTTAATGTCTAACGAAATTGTCCTCTTCCCAATTCATATATTGGTAATTGACACTCTTCGCACACCATGTAGTGATCAACAAGCCAGTCTGAACATTCAGCAACAACAACGCATATTTATATTATTAAAAGATGAAAATTATTGACCGTCTATGCGAAATATGATACAAATTGACTTACTCATAAGATTGATTTTAAATTATTACCATATCCACCCAAGTGAGATTTACTTGCAATTAGCCTAGTATGAGGGGCAAGTCACTGTTTCTTTTGCGACTTATTAGGGATCAATAAAAAATAATTATTAATATCATTTCGATTTGCCACGAACTCCTTTATAAAACTGGATAGAGTAGTATGTGAAAAACTAATAGTCTGTTTGAAAAAAATATGACATTGAAATGTAACTGTCTTTAACCTTTCAGTCGCAATATTGAAGGTTGGCTCTCCAATCATTTGTCGAAATTCGTCAACATGCACATTGCTAAAAAATGCGTTGATTTTGTCACATTATTTTGCCATGACTCTGACTGCCATTTGTCATGTCTAGACGAGCTTACCAATTCTTATTTTTTACCTCTAAAGGGGTCATTTTATTCTAAAGCTCAACTCCGCTCATACCCTTACGTGTGTGGGGTTGTCAACGTGACTCAAGTTAACTGTCTTTGTATTGTCACGATCACAAGCTCGTGGAGGGAAGTCGCTCTCATATCCTCCCTCCCCCTATCTCTCTATTACTCTCCCGAATCCTCATTGTGGTTCATTCAAGACACTTTGTTTAGCAAAACTCTGTCTTCAACTTTGCGTAATTGCCGTCTGGTTCGGTTACATAAGTCCCTAAGGTTTGACGAATCAGCAACTTCTAATCCGTTATTTATTTCACGAGATTTCCTTTCTTAAACAAGCTTGTTTTATCGAAAATCTTCATTGAGTCCAAATTTCATTGGTACCGGAACATCGAATCAACTGTGGCGACCATAATCAAATTTACAGTGCCAGTCCTTTGGGGCACTTTTCTCCACTACATTATTCTTTTTATAGTGAATTGTTCAAGGGGAGCATCAATTAACGACTATAACCAACTTACTTGTTGAATGGTCGTTTGGAAACATCATGATCAAAGGTATTCCTTCCATGATTTCGATGGGTTGTAGCCAGCTCATCAATTTTTGTCATCATCACGTGTGTGAATGAAGAAGAGTTTAGACTTTAATGAGGCTCGTTGTGTGAGTGAACATGTTAAATGTATAAAGGTAATTTAACTAATCAACTATATATATATATAGCCTACCGACCCCACTGTAGTTGTTCTCCGTTAAGTAGTGTGTTACATATAAAAGTATGAAACATGAGTGAGTAATAAATAATTCAACCTTTCCATTTGAACAATGTGACAAAATACTATAGCACTCTAGTTCCTCATGGGGGCCACTAAATTCCACTTATGACAAACATAAATACCAAGATGCTGCTCCACTCTGACTGAAATCCAAAGTTCATTTGTTTCTATCTCACATCTACTTGGTTGTTCCACATCTCCTCCCTTCGATGAGTACGTTAACTCAGCTAACCTCTCTGTCCCTGTCAACTCCTCCATCCTAATCATACACAGCCTACTCTTTAAATTTTTCTGAAGTGCCATAATTAAGGCTTAAAATAACAAGCCACAAGCCACTTTTCGTGTGCTTAAAGAGAAATTTTGAATTCTTAATCGCGAGAACAAAGGCGAACAAAATGCAAATTCTTCTATTCGGCCCACACAGCCCTCTTAATCACAAGGCCCAACTTTTCTAGCTATCGGTAAATACTCTATCCTACATTTCTGGAAGTCACGATGATAAAATGGGCAGAGAAGATGCGGGATTTTTCTCTTTTCAAGTGCTCTAATCGGTATTGTTTCAAGTCCGGGAATTTCGTCTGAATTAAAAAATAACAGTTAGGCAATTAAGGAATTGTGTATGACACATCTAAATTAAGCAATATTGATTTAAGGCATTTTGTAGAACTTTAGGTTTGATGACGAAGAGAAAGAATGTCAGGCAAGGAAAGTGCTATGACTTCACTGGTGGATTGTTATTTTAATGCAATTAAATTAACTATTTCAAATTAATAAGAGTATATGCACGTTGGAAATTAATCTTTTCCAATATTAATTGATATTAACTTGAGCTTTATCTATTTTAAAACACACACAAGAATGCGTGTATATTTCGCTATTAACTTTGTTGAATTGTAATACGTCGTCGAGATCCTCTTCGAACGTTCCCACTTTCGTAAATTCTGAAGTACCTGGACTCTATGTCATCGAGATGATCAGTTTGATTAATTTATTCAGGATGCAATGGCGGAGAGTTGCTGCTGCTCAAGCAAAAGTCTTGGAAGTCTCGGTTTCACGAGGTGAAAAAAATGGGGAAAACTCTTTATAAAAATAATAGTTGAGGCGGACTTTATTGGAGTAACTTTAGGTCACCTTGAATACGAAACTACTAGGAAAAGATGATAGAGTCCATTGCCACAACGCAGCAAAATTCAATTATAAGCGTGATAAGGGGACTAGGGTTGTAGGTCAATGGCTATAGTCTTTTTGTTTCGTTGCTTCGATATCCTTCTTCATACGAGGCCAGTGCGTAGACTTTCTTCCCATAGACTTCATGTGACACATACCAAGATAATTGCTCTGGCTCTGTTAGAATTATGCGGTTTTAAGCGCCGAAGGGATGACTTCTCGACTTAAAAATATTAAGCATGAGCCAACCACAGACAGATAGTGAGGTTGTCTTTAGAATTACAGAAGATAGGTTACTTAGGGTGACCCTGCCAATCCATGTTTAATATTTAATAGCCTTTAAGCCATCTCAGTCGCATGTCGATTGGTGTACTATAATTATAATTGCAATAATAGCGATAAGTTAGTAAAATTCAAGGGTTATCCTATGTAATTCCTATGGCTGCTCTTTTTGCTCCAAAAGTAAAGCATCTTCAAATGTTACAATTCGTCAACCCAACAATTAATTGATTAATAATAAGATTAGCAGTCTACTTAACGTCGGGGATTTTTGGTAAATTAAATAAGTACTTTACTGAAGTAACAATTCATTAATATTTGGTTAAGTATATTTACCCTAACTAATCTAATGCTAACGTCGAAATATACATAACTAAGGAATAAATTACTATTGTACTTTATTAGCAAAATCAAATTGAAATGGCTCTAAATAGAACTAAGTGTTACAGTTTATATTTTACTTTGTTGTGAAGATCGTAATACAGAAGGAAGATACAGTTCAACTGGAAAAAAATCGATAAAAGCTGCAATAATAGCGTAAGCAAATGAACATTGAAAATCAATTAAAAACTCACACTCATGCAGAATGGTATTTTTCTGTAAATACGTTAAAGGATTTTGGTTTTCTTTAAAAACTAAAACTCATGTCAGATTTTTTCAAGAATCAAATTGCTTAATTTGATCTCGTAAATCGAAATGTAATATCACTAAGGTCGATAGTGTCCCATTTAATCGGGAAGTGTATAATTTTAATGAGGTTTAAGATTATATGCCACCCGACAAATACTACGTAAAATGTCGTGCAGACAAAGAGCATCAGATAATGATCTTGGAGAAGGCATGCATTCACACCCACACAGATCTATTAGCAATTCACAAAATACCCAAGCATCCAATAAGAGGTGGGTATGAGTTATATGACAAGTAGAGTGCCGCTTTCAAGAATACCAAAGAAGCACAATTCTACTCATTGTTTGAGAGAGTGACAAAGTGACCTAGAGCTGCAGGATGGCGGGAAACAACTTCACAGCTTATGTTGCGGAAACCACCATGTCGGACCTAATGCAACGGTTTGCTGCTGAGACAACTGCTGACGCTGGAGTACGCTATAATAGTTACATTGAAATTAGCAAATACATTAAAGAAACCTTTGAGAAGAAATATGGTGCCTCCTGGCAGTGTATTGTTGGTAAAAGCTTTTCCTGGTAAGCCGAGTTCCATTTAACTTCAGATGTAATGACTTTTATACCAGAATATCAATTGAAAACATACAAAGATTGGTTGATAAAGAATTCTGGGCAAGTAGATTTCAAAGTTTTTGTCATTTTAGTCAAATTTTAAGTAAGACCGGAAGTTTATGCATAAAAATAGAAAGTAAAAAACACTAAATATGTAAGTAAAGTTAAGTGTAGATTGTAATCAGTTCTAGTTTTCATTTTAAGAAAAGTGATTGTTGTCGACGGGATGATGCGTTAGAAGACGTGCGTCATATCCACATGTAAATAAAATTACTTATTTACAAAACAGGTTACGAAATGGATAGATTTAAATTTTGCGATTGTCCAATTAAGAAAGGCTAACGATAAGGGACCACGATTTTTTATAGAAATATGGCTTCTTTGAGTTTCACTAATATTGTGGTTCTATTATTTGTAGTTACGTCTCTTACGTTGGCGAGGATTATATATTTTTCCGGTTGGACAACCTTTTCGTTATGCTTTACAGAATAAAATAGTTGCAACTATTTTTCGCAATTCTTAAAATTCTTTTTTAATTTTGTTTTAACATTACTATTTGCTGTATTTGAAACGATCTTTTTATTGATTTTATTATATATTAATATTTGTATGCATTATTCCTCTCCAACTTGATTCCAGAAAATTATAGGCCTTCATTGAACATTTTAAGAAGAAAAACACGAGAGCTTAAAGAAATTGGACACAATTCTTGTTCCGAATTTATGAATGAGGGGTTGTCTTAAGTTGGCCAGGTTTCAAACTACCTGCAAACCAATTCGTCTTAATGAGGCATCATGGAATAGCCAGTTGGCTCTTCATTCATTGGCTTTGGTTCAAGAGCGATAACATTTTTCCAAGTTAGTTTCAAATCAAAATTTTAATTCAACCTAGGAAGACATTGTTTCTAGAAATGTGCATTTTTATTTGTCCTATCCTTGTACAAAGTATTATAAAATGAGGAAGGTCACTCCCTATATTTTGGTCTAATTTTTTGTTTGTTTGAACACCAAAGTTCAAAAAACATGATTTAAACAAGATTAAGTATTTTCAAATCGCAGAATTTGCTTTAATATATCTTTGGTAAAGTGTGAGACTGTAGGTAATGGATAATGACGATCAATGATCCTTAACCTCGATTTAAGTATATTACCATTTCTTGAATGGAATAACCGAAGTATTCAAAAGAAACAACAACTAAAACAATTCTCAACCTTCAATTGGATGAACTTGAAAAGGGCCCGTTTGATGCCAATAGTTTAAATGAAAATACAAATAATAATACAGCCAACACATGCGTAAATGGATGTGGGATACACCATTTCTACCTTTCAACTGTCAATAAAAGGAAAATATGACGAGTTAGAAACTGAAATATTTCTCAGCTTTCAAACCTTCCCTATTTATTGTCTGCTTTGCCATCAAGCAACCATATTTTTAAGTTAAGTTTACAGAGGGAAAACAGTTCAATATTGACTTGTATTCATGCAACTCTCACGTTTAATATGCATCGGGTTATAATAGCGCCAGATCAAGAGATTCCAGGTCAACTCTTTGTGCATCAATATACAAATTAATCTCAACCACTCGATTTTTGTGACGCTCTTTTTCTTCCTTCCCGTGCAAATTTGTCATTAACTCATCAAACCACACTCGAGTAGATTTAACGATTCTTTCTTCAGCAGAGTCGATCACATTCAAGTGAGCTTCCTTCGAGTTACACAAGGCATTAAGAACATTTTCTCGATCGGCAAATATCTACGTGAAATAATATTCGACTATTAGGCAAAATCCACTTAAATGATTATTGATCTCATATATTTCAATTACTGCGTAACTTTGATCACGGGGTACTTCTGACTTGGATGACTTTTCTGTATATAAAAGTGCCATTTCTGAGAGCCTTTCATTGAATAACTCAACCGCATCCCGAAGTTTTGCAAAGCCAGCCTGTAAGACAGAATTACTTACTATGAACTCCGTAATGAATTCAAAATAGCAACATTAAAGTACTTGAATTGTTTCGATAAATGCCGCCACTTTCTCCTCGAGATTTCGTTCGAATTCATTGATGACTTCTTCAGTTTGATCCATAAACATCATTTCATTAGTCATAAGATCGTTCCATAGTTCATGAATACATTGACGGATTTTAGAAAGATGAGGTTCAGCGAAATCCACATAGTCCTCAGTTTCCAACTCATTCAATTTCTTGAATATCTGTATTTCCACATCATGAATTAAATGCAGTCAAATTCTTACCGCCGTCTTTTTAACCTCATAAGCTTCAATGAGGACAAGGGCCTGGTCTTTAGTTTCCTGTTTTGCACATTTGATGCTTTCTCTAAGGGCCTCCTCTTCACTTTGACGGTCGTAATATGCACTCAGACCGGATTGAAATAGCTTTGCGCATTCCTCTACAAATTTCTCTTTGTATTGATCGACGATCTCTTGTAGTAAGGGTAATTGAAACAGCTGTTTCCCATCAGTATCCTTTTCGAACATAACCTCAAAGAGGGTATCTCCGTATATACGATCTATAAATGCGGCTTTGTAGATTTTCATATAATTCTGACGTTCCTCCTCTTGTTTTTCTTCCACTTCAACATTTAGTTCATGATGAATCAGCTTTTCAACAGCAATAGAGTAACTTTCATAGGCCTCCGCTTTCTGAAATTATAATTTAAAGTAGTTTGGATTACGCATCGTTTTAATTATCTTGCAGATTTGATTTCCGTGATGACAGTGGCGTTGTTGATTCAACTTTAATAATAACCAGCGTGAAAAATATATGAAATCATAAATGGACCAACTGGGATACAATTGAATCTAGTAAATCTTAAATCTCCCTGTTACTCCTTATAAAATTAATGTCTTTTTAACCAATGATTGCTTACATTCTCCGGTGTTATTTTCTTGTGATCAAGATACTTGAGATTGGGAAGGAATGCATAAATAAACTTATTGTATTCCGGTTCTTCAGTAACTGGATTGTCCTGAAGTGTGAGACAGTCCAAATTCTTCAATTTTCGAAGGTATAGAATCTTGAAAAAAGAGACAAAAATAAGCAATTTGACACTATTTCTTCATTTAAATTAACCGTAAAGAGGAGTTAGTTCACTACTGATGAATTTGCATAAGACACCCACGAATATACTACAAAATCTATCTAAAGGAGTCATAGTAACGGCCTTGATCTAGTGTGGGCATGAATTCGAGGTCGTTGTATTTAGGTTCGATTCTAGGTAAGGCAAAAGATATAAAGAGGTATTTATATACTGCCATAATTCTGTTAAAGAAAGATCGAACCAACAAAATAAACGTAGCAAAATTTGGAGGCATACATTTTCCAGATTATCAATCCCGTTGTGTCCAAGGGATAAATACCGCAACTTTCCATTCATATCCATATTTTCAATTTTCTCGATAGAGTTGTGAAATAGACTCAAATCTTCCAAATGAGCCAAATTCTCCAGGTTCTCAATTCGATGAATACTGTTAAACGAGAGGTCTAAATTGATGGATCGTATTGCAGATATTTGGAATTTGAGGACAAACTCACCTAATCGTTTCAAATTCACAAGTTGGTCCAGACCTTCCATTTTCTCAATTATATTATTATCGAGCAACAATTCCGTTAGATTGCAAAACTGGCTGAGTCCAGTAATTTTAAGAACGTCTGGAATTGAAGTAATGGTTAGTACCAACTCCTTTATACATCAGTTTGACCTTGGAAGAATAATGCAAAGGAAATACTTTTATAGGAAAGTTCCAGTCTCTTGACGGAATCAAAAGCAATTCCTTCTGTTTCTGCGATTCTACCTGCTTCTCCTGTGGGACCTTGAGCAAATACAGCATAAGTGAGTAGTTCCTCGCTGATCACAGTCGGTTCTGACTTGCCATGGGCTCTAAGTGAACCTGAAGGAAAATACTACATTATCACAAATTTCGTCAACAATTTTTGCATAAATCGAAGAAACTGACATTACAATTGAACAATGACAAAAAACTTCCTAAAATGGTGGCTACTCATACCATATTTCGAAACGTGTCCAGACTTGAACCGGCTTACTGACAAACACCTTCCTTACCAGTGTTGCCGTTTCTAGAGTGTGGTCAATCCAACTTGTTAAATATTTAAGGTCTTTATAATATTGTGCAACGTTAGCTATTATCTGCTATTCCGTCTCTCATACCTTTTGTTTTAATCGAAGTTAAAACATATCACGGCGTTAACGTTAGAAAATAATTAGAATATGATTCATTCATATAAAAATATAAAATGCATTCTGGTAATGACATGTCAATAATTGGGCAAATAAAAGGGGTGGTCATTACAATATAGTATTTTGAATAAGTACTGATTTAAACTTTTCTTACGAAAGTTTTTAGCGCGCCTGAATTCCGCTACATTGAAACGGAAATCTAAAAACAGTTTACAATTAAAAATAACATTAACCGAATGATTAAATCAATTTAGAATAGGCATTTAATAAAGAGCCTTATATTTATATGAGAAGCAGTTATAATAGTAATACTCTTGCTCATGGAAATACCTTTATTTGCGGTTACATAAGTGTCCACCTGGCTCATTTGAACTAAATGTTGATTACCACGTTTATCTACAGAGAATTTACATATTGGTTTGTATTAAAATATTGGCTTCTTAATTATTTTAAATTTGCGCATGCAACAATCACGTAAATTTAGTTTAGGCTTCCAATATGCTTAATTAATTTTAAGGAAGTTGAAAGTTGCTCTTGCCAATCTTTCCTCACCAGGGTGTCCCCATGAGTTAATTTATGTGCATTTTGAACTCTACACTATTTATTTAATTTCAGATTCCGAAATACCTTTCGGCCGAAATGTTACCTAAATATTTACATTCCCTCATTCTAAAATTGCGGTTATATCTGAAGAAAAATGGCATCAAAGATAATGAACTTTATATTTTTACCAAATGTTAGTTAATAGGCAGAAATACGTCGGAAGTCAACAAAATTCACCCATAATAAAACATGTTGAACTAATTTTGCTCAACCATTTCCGCATCCGTTGAAGTCTGAAAGTAAGAAAACATACCCAATTAGACTTTTAATGCTTTGAATCTTGATTATTTTACATGATTGGTTGAGTCTAATGTACAAAGGAACGGCTTAAACTGTTTATTGTGATGGAAGAATTTAAAAATTAAACTACCACACTCCTACTTTAAACTTAAATTAAATCCATTCATCAAATCTGAGAGACCAGTCTCTTACCTAACCAATGGAAAGTTGCCATAGTAATACCAGTAATAAAAAAGGGCAAAGACCCTAGTAACTTTCACCCCTATAGGCCTATCTCCCTCACAAGCGTGCTGGCTAAACTTATGGAAAGAATGGTTAACAGGAGGCTGACCTGGTTCCTTGAGACCAACAGTATTCTTAGGAGTGAACAAGCAGGTTTTAGGC